ATATAACCATATAATAAAATTTTAATTGATATCATAAATAAATTCTGCAAACTTATAATGAAATGCCTTAATAAAATATCTAGTAAAACTGAGCTTACAAGTTCACAAGTTATAGTATATTTATTAGATATTAATAATTATTATACACTAAGTAAATTCATCACAATATACTTTAAAACTTTTGAAATTTACCTTACTAAAGAGTGGATAAAGCATGTTTAGAACATTAACAAAAATGCTAATAAGTCTAGTAATGACTCAACTACTAATAATGATTATGATCAAGACACAGCAGATGAATCATTTCTTATATCATTATTTAACAGAAAATTAACTACTGTGAACTTTCGTATGATTATTAGTTTAGAGGTCTATCTCTATATAATATATATTTGTACGATTATGCTAATACTATTCAGAAAATTCTAATTAATTCATACAAACTTTCAAGATTAAATTGTCAATGTTTAAGAGAGAGAAATGACTGTTATCTTTTTTGTGGTGCTAAATTTACAAATGAGTATCACAAATCTAAAGATATCTATCCTTAAAACAAGTCATATATTCAAAAACTTAGAGATAAAAGATCTGAAAAAGCAGTCATATTGAGTAGTAAAGGTTTACTAAAAAAGGATAATATAGAAAACATTGAACGCTATACTTTATATATTCTTATGTTATTTAAACTATAGAAAACAGTTATGGACTTGCAAGAAGATTACAACACATAGAATGATACTTGTCAATCCTTTTTAAATAATTCTTCTTTATTACCATATCTAAAATCTGTGATTTCTAATATAGAATTATTGCATTAGTAGTCAGAAGTGACTACTCTTAACTGAGAATTGTATTAAAATGCAAAAAATAAGCCAATTTTTTCAAAAGTTTGCCTTATTGATCATTCTGTTTCTGGCTATAATGCTGATAATGAATTTAATAATTTAGATAATGATGATTTGATAGCAGATAATTCTTCGGACAAAAGCCCTCTTAACTTTGATCCTGCAAAAATTATTAGATCTAGTCTAAAAGATA